GCGTGCCCTCCCCCGTTCCCCCCCCCCCCAACTCCCATGTAAATGTGTAACCACTGGAAAATTCAGTGGTTACACGTTTACACAATTAAACGTATTTAAAATCTCTAATTGTACCAAGTAACATTTGAACCAGAGTAAGGAGTGTACATTGGACACAAATGCATCTGAGTAAACATGGTTTACCCTTAAGACACACCAACACAATATTAGCCTTAAGTATCCTAGCTTAAATTAAATATCAAAGTAAGGATGCCTTCTACAATTGTGGCATACAGAAAATAACTAGTATTAAGTACTTACTATAGTTAACTATAATATATTTTATAAACATTAACTAATCTTCAAAACCTTCTGCCTCTCAAAACAGGATCAATGAACTTTGATAAGACAGAGCATCTACACTCCACAGAAGAGAGATATTTGGTATGACCCTCAAAATGAAAGCAATTGTATACAAATATTACTGTATCAAAGAAGATCTTTCATAAAAGCTTATGGTACATTTCTGTGAAAAATAGGCATTAATATTACATATAGGTCCCTATGAAATCCGCATTCACAAGAACATGGACAGAATTACAGAATCAAAACCAGCAACAGAATCCAGGTTCTCCCCAGTACTAGGATCACAGGGGTAGGTGCACAAGGCAGGCTGAACAGCTGAACTGTGTGCAAGGGCCAGTGGACAGAAAGGGAAAAAGGAGGGGGGGAGGCAAGGGCCACGAGGGAGTGCAGGGGTTACAGAAGCAGCACTAGCATCCAGGATTTAGGGGGCAGCTTCTGAAAACTTGGTTCCTTTCTCTGTTAGTTTCACATTTGGAGTTGAAGCTGACCAAGGTGCTCCCTCTGGGACACTCGCATCACATTAAGAGAGAAGCTGAAATTTCCTTGGGGACCTATATCAATAGAAGTATGCCGGGCCCAAGAGAATAGATTCATTTGAAAGAACATCTTCATGCTCCTTTATGTGGTATCAGTATCCCTTCCTCAAAGGCACATGTACATGCAAAACTAGGATGCATGAGATTGTTATGCACAAGTTGTGGATGGGTTCCACTTGACATTTGGGCAGTGCTGTGCCTACACTAGCTGGTGCCCAGTGAGCTGCCAGCTTCGTTCTTCTGGCATAACCAAGGCTTCCACATGCCCAGCTGGTAGGGCTGCCAACTGTCTAATCCTGTAAACACTAAGACCCTTTCCTGAGGCCAGGGCCATCCCACCCCTTCTCTAAAGCCTTACACCCTTGCTCACTTCATCCACCCTCCTTCCATCACTCGCTCTACCTCCCACCCTCACTCCTTTTCACCAGGCTGGGGTAGGGGGCCGGGATTCAGGAGTGCATTGGAACTTACCTTGTGTGACTCTCAAAAAAATCAACTAGTACATCTCTCTGACAGTGGCGCCATGGCGGGGAGTAGGGGAGGTGGCAGGGGATCTCCAGGAAACTCAGGGTCAGTGCTCGATGTGGGGGACAGTGCGTATAGATTCTTACTCCCAGGACTGCAAGGATATGCCATGCCACCAGCCACTTCTGGGAGCAACGTACAGTGAATGCAGGTAGTAAGCCTGCTTTAGCCCTGCTGGTGGTGATGGCAGCAGATGGGGGCACCAAGCCCTTTTAAAATCACCCAGGCCCCTGAGCAAATGTCGCCACTGTCCCCCTGTTGGCAGGCCCAGCTACAGTGTATTGTCTCTTTAAAGGACGGTGAACATTTTAAAGTTCTGTAAGCATTTGGGGAGGGATGAACACAGCAAGGTTTTAGGGAACACAGTTTTAGGGAAATTCAGAATGGGGGTGGGAGAGGCATGTGCTGGAATTACATTGCAAAAAAATTACTGGGCAACTGAAGCCAAAGTATGACCAGTACACTTGTAGGTTGGCTGTTGGCATCAGGTCTGTCAGTCATAGCAGCACAGCATGGAAGGCACCGAGACCTGCAGGGCAAGCAGTAATACAGCCTTTTTCTAGTCTGGGTTCAACCCCAAGTCTTCAAAAACTCCTTTGAAACTCAGCTTAATTCTGATGCACAAACAAAAAACTCTGCTCAATCTCTCATAGCTGTGCTGGATCTGCAGGACTAAAGAGTGGTAAAAACGCACATTTATGATTCAAGTAAGCAAATATCTTAAAACATACAGGTGGGTTTGATGTCAAACTTATTGCTATTTTATATAGTACCTTAAAGCAAAAGCAACACTGGATTTCAGTTGCACATTAAGACTCATTTGGAAGTGAAATAAGCTACCTCCTTCCATTTTTTTCCTGCCATCTCTTGTATGAAATGCAGGATGTAGACACATTCAAAAGGTACCATATGTAAATTTTCAAAACAATGACTAAAATGAACCATCTAGCTATATGCTAGAACTAGGATTATTGTTCCACATGATATTAAAACAGCATAGATAGCTATTTCCATAAAAAAGTATTAACTACCCCAACAGTCTTGTATATACAAAACACTGCTGCATTGTAAGTCCTTAATTGTTTGTATGTTTCCATATCTCAAAGTCCGCCAACATACAATTCAGTTAACCTTGTTTACACAATGACTGGCTGCAGCATGTGATGGATATACAAATATTGGGTGATACTCACTTCACTGTTCCAAGGTCTTTATTCTTACTGAAAAAAAGACAGAAATCTGAATTATACTGAATTAAAAAAAAAAGAGTACCAAACATTAATCCCCTACCTGAAAAAAACAAGCACACACACAAAGGAAAGCCTAAATTCCTGATATTGAGGAACGGACAATATTTTTATAATGAATGAGAAGACTGAAATCAACTGAGCAGAAGTGAAAAGGTATGTTTAAACAAGTAAAATTGTTTTATATCTCATTCTGTTAATCGAGAGCTACACAGCAGATCTTCTGCCAAAAAAGGATACCTTGTGCCACGATGAGATCTTGTCCAAAAAGAAGCTGCAATTCCGTAAGTACCAACAAGATCACAATCAAGTCACCAAGCTATTAGGCTATTAAGACCTGTCTCTCCTTTGTATCTGATGGTCACGGGTGGGAAACACCTGGCCTCCTCAGAGGCAGGGTGTTAGGCCTCAGGTCCAATAACTATATCCCTTCCCAATGAGGCAATCCGGCCTAGCAGCCACAGTCACTAAAACCACCTTCTTCTTGAAGGGCAGTGAGGCCCAGCAGCCAGAGTCAGTAACAGGGATGTCAATGTGTAGTTCACTACACAATTAACAGATAAGATTAATTAATAAGCCAAGGTTTAACTACACACACTCTTCCCCCCGGGAGCCAGTGCCCATGAGGGGCTAGCCCCTGGGGACTATCAAATAGTTGTGTAACCAATACAATTTTGTGCAGTTACATGACTAATATCCCTGGTCAATAATTGCTCTCTTCCATCAGGACAGTGAGGCCTAGTGGCCAGAGTCAACAACATCATTCCCCCTTCCACAGGGCAGTGAGGCCTAGCATCCAAAGTCTGTAATCACTCCCTTCCCTCAGGTTAGTGAGTCCTGGGGGACAAAATCAGTAATCACACCCTTCTCTCTGGGCAGTGAGGCCTGGCAGCCATAGTACTAAAGTCAATATCAAAGTTC